CACAGCGGATACGGTTAGTATCTTATTTTGCTTAATTAAAAGCCTCTCATATTTAAGGAGGATACGGGACCCAAGGGAACAGTATGTATTAATATTCAGGTGTATTACAATTTTAAGTCATTCTATTAGACTAGTAGATATATTTAGCACTGTGCTCAAGTGTTAATATTCCACTGGACAATAACCACTTATTAATATAACTTTGATTGACTAATCTTAACTTGTTTTGTTTGTAGGAAGCTACATGTATATCGAAACATCTTATCCTCGACAATATGGGGAAAACGCCAAACTAGAATTTTCAGTGTCGAGCTCTGACATTGGGAAGTTGTCTTGCCTGAAGTTTTATTATCACATGTATGGCGACACAATAAACAGGCTCAATGTTTACAATGGTTATACCAAAGTGTTTACTGAATCAGGAAACCAAGGAAATGTGTGGTTGTCTGCGAAAATTACCATGACTTTACAAAGCAAAGTAAGCTCTAATTATTTTATCTAAGGGTATCTTTTCGGTCTGGAATACCATTACGTATGATTGGCTAATCGCGGTCGTCTTGAGCCATAGGAAGAAAACCAAACTTACACATTTCGTTCAGTTTTCTTTTCATCAAAATAAATTTTTCCGGGGAACAACTTAAACGTTAACTCCTTAAATTCAATTGTATTTAACACAAAGCAAAAAACACTCTTTTCTTGAAGCTTTTCGAAGGCTCAAAGACTTTTTATATTGGATTGTATTTAATCTCAGAAACCAAGATTAAGTAATTTAAGTTATAGATCTTAGTTATGTTTTGTCATGTCCAGATCTGAGCTATAAGCTAAAAAGATTCAGACTGCAAAACAAAACTTCTGGGTAATTTATCAAGCACAGACCATCTAAGACNCTTTTCATCAAAATAAATTTTTCCGGGGAACAACTTAAACGTTAACTCCTTAAATTCAATTGTATTTAACACAAAGCAAAAAACACTCTTTTCTTGAAGCTTTTCGAAGGCTCAAAGACTGTTTATATTGGACTGTATTTAATCTCAGAAACCAAGATTACGTAATTTAAGCTATAGATCTTGGTTTTTTTTTGTTTTTTTTTTGTCATGTCCAGATCTGAGCTATAAGCTAAAAAGATTCAGAGTGCAAAACAAAACTTCTGGGTAATTTATCAAGCACAGACCATCTAAGACCAAATAACTATCTGTCAACATGCAAATTAGAACAAGGAAAGAAATGCCATGTTTTTTTTTTATTTTCAGCAGTAAAATGTTTCCCGACGTGAAATTTGTATGCGTAATAGTTGACTCGGGCTGCGCCCTCGTCAACTATCACGCGATAGAAATCTAGAGCTCAGAATCTAATTGCTTAATGGTTGACGAGGGGGAGCCCGAGTCAACTATCACGCATAGAAATCGAGAGCGAATAATCTAATTGTTTCAGTATAAATCCACTAGTCGTTCAAAACTTTATCTAAATCTCTTCACACACACTTTGAAAACGCCAAGAAGCGGCCGTCATTTTATTAACAAGGGCACACTGCTACGCTACTCACTATCTATCACAGAACAGATAGTGGGTAGCGTAGCCAATCAGAGAACGGCATTCGTGACAGATCGCTAGTAGATTTATACTAAAAATAAATAGAAAATATGTTCTCCGTGTTTCTATCGGGGAAGTTTGGGAGAACTCGGAAAAGCTCGCGTCTGTCGGCCCGTGTTCCCACAGCATTTCTCGTTCTCCCAAACTTCCACTCGTGTTCCTATNTCAGTTCTTTATTGTTCGGGAAAGGCTAAAATCACGATACTTTCGCAATGTTTAATTTTACAATAACTGTCAGACTTCTTGCAAGCTCATTGGCTCATTTTCTATCGTCAATAAGGGTGTAGTCACACAGATGATGCAATCACGCGCGGACCTTGAACATTTTGCCAGACGTTTTACAGCGTCTGTAATATAATCGTTTAAGCCCGAGTCTCAGACTCATTTTCACTAAAAGAAATTCAGGTTCCCTTGCGCTTTAATTTGGCTTATTGCTTCCTCTCTTCGGAGTTTACACGCTTGATTAATTATTTTTGGCTTTCAAATTTATAAAAGAAGAAGTACAAATTGACGTGCGCTTTTTATGCGTCTCCACTACATCTCTTTGATCCAGAGCTGTTTTGGCAATGCTATGACGCAAGTTATCATTGATAAGAGGACATACGCATAGAGCTGCCATCCATCGAAAATATTTTCTAACTTCCCAACTGGAATCTAAACAACGTAATGGCAGTAACGCATAACATCCCAGATATTAATTGACCAGCAAATTTTCTTTTCATTTTCAGATTGCACGGAGAACGTGAACCAATCTTTTGGGCAACTGGATATCAGCTATTCAAATAATTTTGACCCATACTGTAACTGGATAGTTGGGAATGCTGGGATACCTCAGGCAGTTGCCATTGTTTCCATTCACCAACTCAACTTCACTGGCTACGGCAGGTACACACGTTGCATCTATTGCTTTTTTGTTTTGCTTTTATTCCCGGATACTTTTTTGTTTTTCAATTATCCATAATTCACTTTATTTGTCCCCCAAATTTTGCGCAAGATTTTGCTGTTGAATGTTCTTCAGCAATCCCTTAGCAACTGCTCTAAATCGATAGCTAAGAAAGGCCTTCCTTAGGGCTTAATTCAGCATGATAGTTAATCGTCAGCTGCAAAACGTTTTTGCCATCGGTCAGATTATTATTATTATTATTATTATTATTATTATTTTTTTTAAATCTGTGGATCGGGATAATTATCTGTGCTCTTTTTAACAAGCTCGGTTTCACGCCATCGAGTGGCGCATAAGAAACAATAAGCCGAGGCTACAAGCATTTTATGCAACTGTGTAAGCGATAATAAAACTTGTCTACATGTTTTGACAGTGATTACGTCAAATTGTATGATGGAAATGGGACTGAGGTTTTTGCCAGACATGGATGGGATTCCACGTCCTCTAACAGGAGTTTGCAGCAAGTGTCCTTTGGAGAATCCAAAAATATCACCATTCAAGTCTCTCTGGTTGACCCGTCGAACTTTGTCAAAATTGATTACGGCTTGTTGATGCAACCGCTGACATTAGGTAGGGAAAATGAGTTTGCTGTGGTGTGCGCGTGTTTTGCCTCTTCATAAAATCAGGTATCCAATATGTCTCCATCGCGGTGGTTTCCTACACCTCCTTTTGAAAGATCAAACTGGAATCTGGAAATACTTACACATATACATGCTGACTGCGGGGAAAAGGTGTTGAATCTATATATTCCTGGATTTGAATCATTTTCCAATAGCAACGAGAGATTATTCTACTGTTTGTTTGGTTGCTTGTGTGATTACTGATTTTTAATAATAAATTCTACCGCAGCTACCCTATTGAATGATTGGAGCGTAACCGTCGTAAGCCGAACAGCGAGAAGTATCGGGATAAGTTGGAGCAGCCCAACCAGTCTTCTCAACGGTGAAATTCGTTTTTATGTTGCCCTTGCCAGAAAGATAAACAGCAGCAGCAAGTCAATTGGCGAAATACTGGCTGGGAATGCAACAGCATCGCAGATTACTAAACTGAATGAGTACACCGAGTATAAAGTTAGCGTTATAGCTGTGAATGGCAATGGAATGCCGTTTAAGAGTGCAGAAGTCTCAGTTATGACCGATGAAGGGGGTGAGTACACTACAATTAATTATGTTGTACAAATGCAACCGTCCGAGGAACAAATCTTTCCACGTGCTTTCTTTTTCAGTTCCTAGTAGAGCGCCAAATGGTCTTCGAGTGACAAGCTCTAATTTTACCTCTGAGCTTCTGGTGGAGTGGTACCCTCTTTCGCAGCAGTACGCCAATGGTAAGCTCTTAGGGTACACAATCTACTACCAAGATTACAACTATTTTTGGTCGCCACACGAAAGCGTCAACACAAGTAGTCCTTCCCCTACACGATTCACCTTAAAAGGACTTAAGCCAGCACACGAGTACCTCGTTGCAGTGGCCGCTTTTACGTCAAAGGGAGTAGGACCAAAGTCGGCCCATGAACACGCTATCACAGGTATGTTTTAATTGCCTATAACTTGCATGACCACGTCAGAGAGTTTTTAGACCAGGTCACTAGGGTTTACCTTCAGAGGACCATAACCTTTTTCATTCCATTCATGAGCTGATTGTTTTTTCTTACTTTCTTCAAGGCTGTTCAACAACTTTAAATGAGACGTTTGGCCAAATAGAATTGACTACAACAAGCTACCGTGATGTTCGATGTACCTGGAAGATACACAGTGCTGGCATCAGTGAAGCCGTTGCTTTCGTTACCGTTCAAGAATTAAATCTCTACTATTGCAGGTAAAGGAAGGGAATGGTAATTCCTGTGTAAAAGATAGGTGTAACAAGAGACAAGTAACAAGCGGGGCCGTAGCCAGACAAAATTATGACTGAAGCAATGTCCATGGTTCAATTTTCTTCTTAGGTATTTGGGGAGTTTATGATGACTATAAACAACAAAAATAAAACGGAAAATGACTGAGGCAAGTGCCTCTGTTTGCCTGTTACTAGCTACGGCCCTGAAGTGTTGTATCTCTACTGGCTGGCGGGGAGCCAAGTCCTAGTCTCTAACTCCATAATGATGCAACTGTAACAATTAGAATGGAACACCCTACTGATCATATACACCGCAAAATGTCCCAAAACAAGCCTGGGCTTATATTCGGGGGAAAATCTGAAGAATGTCTGCGTTTGATCATTGTGGGCTTATATCTGAGGAAGGAAATGTACGTTGTTTCTCCGTGGTGGAGGGGGGGGGGGGGGGGGGGGTACTTCCTTATAAGAGGCTAATGGGGATGTGCCGCTGGATGGGGTCGCATTTTTAAGACTGGGTTGACCATCACGGGGTCGCATTTTCAATAGAGTTACTAAAATGGGATCGCACATTTTATGATTTTGGGGTAAGACAGTTCTTCATATTTACGGTTAGCAAACGTACCAGAATGTTTGCACTGTAGGTGAAAAGTAAAGTGTTCTTTATTCAATATAAGGTACATATATAAATAGAAAGTGACTAAGTTGGGATGGCGAAAATTACATGTTTGCCCAGAAGTGACTAAGACGGAGTCTATAATTGGCCACAGAATAGACTATAGTAGGGTAGGGGCTCTGAGAGGCCAGCGGGCACATATCCAGCAAAAATTAACCCACGTATCTCCCCCAGGGTTGTTTCTTTCTTCCACTAACGTCACCAGAGTTACATTCATTTACATGCTACAAGAGATTAATATTAATAAGGGGAACCCTGCTGACGTACATGTCGTTTGCATTCCTCCTCAATGGCATAGACTTTGGCGACGAGAGGTCATCAGGTTCAATACCAATTGACTCCAAAGATTTTAAAAGTTTGTGAAATTTAGTAACTGGTGAAACTCATCAGGAGATACCAGCTGGCGTTCAAAAACCGAAATATTTCCGTTAGCAAAAGGGATAAAAAGTCAATGCATTCCATGTGAAATTTTGAGTTTAAAAACCGCTTCACATAAAAAGTATATACATACATATAACAGATTAGAATACAATGGGCTTGAATTTCTGGGGACGGTTAACTGTGCCATGTTGTTTCAATATTCAGGGAGGGATTCCGTTTCGGTTTGTTGCTTGATCAGAGATTAAAGCGCTAATGCTAATGAAGCAAGTATTGTAAACAAAGATTTCCTTATAACTGCATAATCTTAAGATGATAAAAGGATAAACCAACAACAAAATAAAGTTTTGTTTTTAAACTGGAACAATATAACGCGAATCTGTAAGAGTGATATTCAACATTTTCACCTCATCTAACATTAGGTTTTCTTTCTTTTTTTTATTTTTAATTCAGCGAATTTGTCAAGATTGCCAATGGATACGGAAATGAGGTTCTCTACCACCTTGGGTGTGTGTCATTTGCTCCAGAAATTCTAGCGTATGTTTCTTTTGGTCTTTCAAATAACATCTCCATTCAAGTTTTCACACAAAGTTATGGCAACAGTGTGAAAATGAAGTACGCCGTTTTGAAAAAGGGTCTCGCGTCAGGTATGTTTAAATAACACTCTAAAACTTTTACGGTGATGCTGCTACTAGTGATCCGAATTCTGCTTCTAGTCTTAATGCTATTGCTGCTGCTATAATAATAGAACTAATAATTATTATACCACTTTTGATACTGCTANCTGCCACTGCCGCTGCCACTGCCACGCTACTGCCACTGCCATTGCCACTGCCACGCTACTGCCACTGCCGCTGCCACTGCCACGCTACTGCCACTGCTGCTGCCACTGCCGCTGCCACTGCCGCTGCCGCTGCCACGCCGCTGCCACTGCCACTGCCGCTGCCGCTTCCACTACCGCTACCACTACCGCTTCCACTACCACTACCACTACCGCTACCGCTATTAGTCTACTATTAGAAAGAAAAATAAGGAATCTTAAGTAGTATTTCGTTGTTGACAGTTAAGTATTCAATGCTCCGAAGAAATCTGCTTTACTTTTCTTCTTTACCTAGCCATTATGGTTTCCGGATGGAATATGACAGTCTTTAACCTTTCATCCACAAGCTTTAACGTTCATTGGACAAAGCTCGATAAAGTAGTTAACCGGTTTGCAAAGTTCTACATAGTTGAAATAAAAAGCTTCCAAGGTACTATACTGACGGTAGAGACTGTTCCTGAAAATGGTACAAGTACAATTATCAAGGGACTTGGGCCTTCTACGAAATACCGTGTAGTTGTTTTTGGCGTTGATAGCATTGGACAACCATACAAAAGCTTGGAGACTACTATTACTACTACCACAGGTAGGAGACAATGGAACTATTGAGCTGTGTATGCTTATTTGTATTATATATCACACAAGGTGCTTGGAGGATTTCACTTTATCGATCAGAAACTGGTATATGTATCAGTATATACATATGAAATTAAAACCACCACAACAACAATAACGAGACAAAAACAACTCTATATTATTATCGAAAAAGGCAACTACTCAAAAATTTAAAATAGGATTCCCCAGTTTTATGACTGTTTTTTTTTTATTACGAATAATTACGGATATTTTTGTTCTTTGAGTTTAGTAACTTGCGGCTCCCGACCAAGTGCGACTCGAATTGTGGGTGGTACAGTTGCACCTGTCAACAGCTGGCCATGGCAGGTGATGTTGACAAACGAGTATGGAAATCAGTTTTGTGGCGGCTCATTAGTGGATACTTATTGGGTGGTGACAGCGGCTCATTGCTTGGATGGAAAAACACCATCTAGTGTGAGGATAAGGTAGCTAACGCTAACGATTTCACTTAAGTTAAGAAAGCATCCATCTGAAAACCATGCACTCAGCGTTGCAATATGAGTCCACTTCGCCCCTCTTAAGTTTCGTTCATATTTTGTGTAGGGCTACATGATAAGGTGATTATGCAGTGGGTAGAATATTATCGTAAAATTCTTTAACGTGTGAGAGATATCGTGATCAACGTGTTCGTGATCAGCATTGCTCCAAAAAAACAAAAAGCAAAAAACAAAAAACAAAAAAAACATACGGCCCATTTTTCGACCAAAATATTCATAAAAACATTAAATATTTCCAGCTCAAGAGCTGGTGTAATTAATATCGTGTAACTAAATTTCTATGACACCATCCAGATTTTAAATAACTCTTTAGTTTTGTTCAAACTTATTTTGAAAATAATGCCCTGACGGAAGTGTTTGGCCGAGAGGATTTTAGGATAAATTTAACACTGAGAATTGCCGATGCGGCGTTGTTTCAAAAGTTTCTTTACCTACTATTTTATGAACTTTTTATCGGTTAATAAATACAGTCTGCAAAGTTAAAACTGTATGTGAAATTTTGGCTGACAAAAGGTTGCCAAGATTTGCAACGAGTTTGATTGCGTGGTAGCATGATGAATTCACCAGATTGCACTCGAAACAAACTTTGAAGGTCTACAATAACTTCTGACGTTAATTATCTTGCTTTAAAAAACAGCCCTAAGAAAATACGCAGGCTAATTGCTAAAATCGTGTTTCTATAACTCGATTGAAACACAGAACTAGCGTGAGCTGTTGACGTAATGATGGCGCGAGCAAAGAGAATTTACATTTAGATGATCAAAGTAAACCTGCGGCTCGTGTTCCCACAATATTTCTCGTTCTCCCAAACTTCCACTTGTGTTTCTATAACTCGATAGAAACACGGTACATGTTTTCTATTTCTTTAAATATGGTGCCTTCGATATGATAGACTTACAGCTGGAAGTCTTAAAACAAGCCTCATCAGACGCTATTATGTTCATCGATCTATATATGAAAAGGAAAAATCTCCGAACCACTTACTCTGTTTGAGTCGTGGCCTTAGTCTTCAAAACCAATCCTCAAGCGATTATGGATGAGATTATCTCGTTTAAACGAGGACATACTGTACCTTGCCATAAGTTGTTTTCATCTTGTTTAAGATTAGCACCTATGTCCCTCAAACCTATTATACGGTAACGAGGCGGGGGGAGTGGGAGGGGGGGGAGGAGGGAGGCAAGGAGAGTGTCACCAAATAGCCTGATTTTGAGACTAGAGACGGTCTCAAAGTTTTTCTGCCATAAGTATTTAATATGACTCAACGGAGGAACCTTGTCTTGTCACGGAAAGGGATAGATTGTAAAAGTGGGTTTGCGCGTTAATGATTCGAAATGTTATCATCCTGAACTCTCAAAAACTGTTTAAGTATCTGATCTGAAGAAACTCGTATCATTTAGTCGTGTTACACTGCAAACTGACTCCCTGGCAACTTCTTACATGTCTTTCTATCTGAGTTTCAACTGAGAATTCAAAGGTTTTTTTTAACGTTCTGTTTTGTTGCTTATGCGCGCTTGAGTCTGGGGCGAAGCAGGGGGGAAAGAGTTCGCAGCAGTATGAGTCTATTTTTGATACACAGTTCGTTCTAAATTAATGAAATATCCAGGCCAGCAATTCCCATTAACTGACGCATGATATTAATCAAACCTTAACAATAAGGAGTTCGCTGCAATCAATCGATCACTCACTCACTCACTCACTCACTCATTCAAACAATCAATCAATCAGTCAATCAATCAATCAATCAATCAATCAATCCATCAGTCAGTCAGTCAGTCAATCAATCAATGAATCCATCCATCCATCCATCCATCTTAATTCCATCAATCAATCAACTAACTTTATTTAAATGTCTACAACTTCTAGTCAGCCCGGAGGCCGACTAGTCGGGGACATTGCCAATAAAATTATCAATAAATTAAGTGAAGTGAAGTGAAGTGAAGTGGAGTGGAGTGGAGTGGAGTGGAGTGGAGTGGAGTGGAGTGGAGTGGAGTGGAGTGGAGTGGAGTGGAGTGGAGTGGAGTGGAGTGGAGTGGAGTGAAGTGAAGTGAAGTTAAAAGTTACCTACCACCTATCACTTCTTACGGTATATATACACATCTAAAATCCTTTTAATATTTTAAAATACGGACTGGAATTTAATTTTCTAAAAACTAAAAATGCAAATTTTCTTCTGGAGACCAAGTCAAACCAACTGCAAGCTGCTGGAGTATTTAAACTCTCCTGATACCTTTTCATGGGTTTTTTTCCAGATTGGGAGCCCATTACAAAACATATGGCAGCGTTGGAACGGAGCAAGACATCAGAGTTGCAAAAATTATCATGCACGATAATTACGGCTTTCCCCTATCACTAAGCAATGATATTGGCTTAATCAATCTCGCAAGTCCAGCTGATCTTGGAGTAGGAGTTGGTCTTGTTTGTTTGCCAGATACCAACTATCAGCTTCCCTTTGATAACCCTAACAAAACGTGCTGGACAACTGGTTGGGGAAGGTTATATTGGTGGGGCCCCTCACCAAATACATTGATGCAAGTATCCGTGCCACTTGTGTCAAAACAACGTTGCGAGAATGCTCATCCTGGCGAAATAGACGACTCAATGCTCTGCGTTGGTCGAGATGAAGGAGGTATTAGTCCGTGTAACGGTGATAGTGGTGGGCCCTTAGTGTGCGAGTTTAATGGTACGTGGTATCTCGAGGGAGCCACCAGCTGGGGATACGGATGTGATCATTTTTCGATGTACGCTAACATTCGCGACTTGAAATCGTGGATATTAACAAATATGTACACGGTCGTAGCACCTAGTGCATCTCCAAATAACCAATCATCATCTGCATTAGGTAAGCGTAACAAGAGACTATGGATTTTGCATGTTTCAAGAAGGCGCATGAAAACTAAAAAGGTTATGAGGTTAAGGGCTTAAGTTTTTTTTAACTCTTGTGAAATCATTAATTGTATTTTACTTATTTCAACTGTATTACTCGTAAACGTTTCAACTGCGCTTGAACACTTTTCACAACAAGGCGAATTAACACTTTCGTTACAAATTCCAGCTAGGCAACTGGTCTGCAATTCAATGGTTTAATTGAAACCGATATTGCATTTTCTCCCTCTTCATTGGGTGATTGGAAACTATAACACTTGAAAGTGGCAGCTAACAAATAGTTGCTTGTTCCACCTCGCCCCTACACTGCTGTATAAGTATTTTCACATAGCGTCACGACCTTGTGGTAAAAATTAGAATATGTATTGACAGTAATGTGCATGTTTAGAAAAGCCACAAAGGCCTTGGAGTCAGAGTAAAACAAGGTTTTAGACAATCAATGTAGTATTTGTCGCACTTAACCCTTACTCTGATGGCATTACATGCATGTAATGTGTGATATCACACTTAGCTTCATTCAAAATATCTCATTTTTTAACCCGAGAGTAGCAATAGTATAAAGCTAAATTATTTGTATTGGCCAAAATTGTTTTAAGAATAAACTCCGGCTGTACCATACGCAAGCTATTTCAAATAGCACTCTTGTAACTTCTTAAAATCTTTTCGGTTATATAAAGTACTAACAACTACGACAAAAGCACGATCCTTATTTCTTGTTAACATTTCACTGATATGACTAATATTTCTGTAACGATTTCAGTCTGGTGTGATTTTGACCACGGTTTGTGTTCTGGATGGAGTCAGTCTAGAGCGGATGATTTTGACTGGACGCTTGCATCTGGTTCAACACCTTCGTCGTCTACAGGTCCATCTCACGATCAAGGAGGGTCAGGTAGTTAGCTTCTTTGTTTATTTTATTTTTTCAATATAGTTCGTTCTTCGACAATAGCAATCCACAGCTACTTTTGAATACCTTGTGAATCGTGACAAGTCTGACGTAACATTCTATCTTTGCCAAGGAACTCGAAAGAGGCCTTTCTGCTTCGGCAAACTGTTGAGTATTACGCTCAAAGTTTGCAAACATGACGTCCAGTGTACATTTTTTTAACACATTTAACAACCTTTCAGTGAATAACCTCTCATGTTAAGTATTACAAACGGACTTTTCAAATAGCCAAATAGGTTAAAGCGACTGAGATAGTTTCCTAACATTTTCAGCGCAAAATTTCCAGTTTAGGAAAATGAATGAGTGACAAAGAGTTTGAAGTCATTAGAAGCAGATAGCCTGTCGAATTACTATCCATGCTGATGTTACGAGTGTGTGATATTTCGGTGTAATTCTCTATCACAGTGCAAATATTGAAATGTATTTATTTTGTTTAACATCGCAGGTAATTACATGTACATCGAGGCGTCTTCTCCAAGAACACCTGGAGAAAATGCGAAACTTGTGTTGACAGTTCCAAATAGTGGCAATCAGTCGTGTCTTTCATTTTACTATCACATGTATGGGGCATCGGCTGGAACTCTCAATGTATACAATGGAAATATCAAAGTCTTTTCCGTGTCCGGAAACCAGGGAGATAATTGGTTGATGGTGGAAAGAAACTTGTATTTGGATAGAGTGGTAAGTAAAATATTGCGTTTTACAGATACATTAAAACACGTATCTGACCAAAAATCAACAAGGAATTATTTTTCTTAGAAAGTTGAATTATGTAATTAGACGCAGGGAAAGTCATAATTTTAAACATCGTGCCTCTCACAATATCTCGAAAAGCGAAACTTGAAACTATTTGACATTAACGTCGCATCAAATTCTTTTCAGATAAACTAATCATTGTCTTTACTTAAAGAGTAAAGCTTACAGTACTCCGAATGAATTAGAATCCACAAAAATACTAATTAAAACGGGTTGCGGGGGGGAATGGATGCTAACCCCTTATGAGGTTTTCCCAATTTTTTGAAAAGAAGATTTACTCTAAGGGGCTGAAACTTTCAGTAGCTATTCACTCATTCTCTGCAAAAAATTTGATTTGTCAACTATGTGTCCATCATTTTTTGCGTTGCCATGACAACCATCCAATTTTATATAGATCTGGCCGAAAATCAACTTTTTTGAGATAATTCTGTATTCTTTACAATTTTCTTTATCAAACTGCAAAAGTTTGTGAACGTGTACATTTCATAAGCATTTTGGCTTGAGTTCACATTAATCTCCGTTATTTTTTTGACTTTTTAACAAAATAACGAGATCTAAGATTGAGGGTCAAATGACGTCATTTGACGTCATAACCAAAGAAAATGGTATCATTTCTTACAGCAAGCTCAGGGCTATCTAATCAATGTAATTTCATTTTGCTGTGTCTTAAAGGAACGAAAACCCAGGCGAGAGGTTCCAACCACCCCACCACCCCTTGTACCACGGTGGGGTTATGATTTAGCTTGTACGTCCGAGGGTTGAACAATGATGTTTGCTATTCATTATTCAAAATTGAAAAAGGATAGAATAACGTGAATAACGGGTCAACTTTGCCAGATCTTCATTTAGTGAATAAACGAATACCTTATTTCAATCAATGTGTTTGCAGGTTACATTTGAAGGAATAACTGGCAGCTCATATACAGGTGATGTCGCCATTGATAAAGTGAAGATTACTGAGGGAGACTGTCCAGGTAAACAATTCTATAAATATTTAATATCAAACATAAATACTTTATAAAGTCTCACCCATGCGAGGTAGCGTCTTTGAGCTTCGTAAGTCGTCTGCAGAATTTTCATCGTTTTATTTTGGGACTTGTTGGCCAATAGGGTGCACAATTAACTTTGAACGCACATGAGTTGTCCAAATTTTGGGCAAAAAATTTTCCTGTCATAGCTGGAAATTGTAATTCTTGAGATAACATGCGGCAACGTTTGTTATGCCACTGAAGATGACAAAATAACCGGCTTGATACTGTAATTTTCAAGATAATCGTTTTTTTGAAATTGACAGAATTAACGAATTACTCTTATTATACGCCTTAATGGTCCAACTGGCCTAATATCCTATTGCTTCAGTTTCATGTAGTTTTGACAACGGTTTGTGCCTCGGTTGGAGTCAATCCTCTTCAGATGTATTTGATTGGACACTTAACTCTGGACCCACACCATCGTTTTCCACGGGACCATCATCAGATCTTAGCGGAACTGGTGAGTTGGCTTTGATTTGTTCTTCAGTCTTGAAGCAGATTTCTAATAGTCATAGTTAAAATGATTATAATGTGAATATTGAGTAGGTTATAAGCCATGAATTATACTATTTAGATCAGGAATAATTGTACTTTGGTAGTGTCCAAGATAGACCAAGAGGGGACGTTAAACAACTAAAATTAAATGCCTATCTTTCATAAACGTTTTGCAGTTATTGCTGGTAGAGTTGATGCATTCTTGCACACGCAAACATGTTATATATGGGAACAGGGATGGCGTAGAGGTGAGAGCGCTCGCCTCCCACCAGTGTGATCCGGGTTCGATTCCGCGTCCCTGCTATATATATGTGGGCTGAGTTTGCTATGGCTTTTGCCTTGCTCCGAGGGTTTTCCTCTGGGTTCCTAACTCCACAAAAAAAAACAACAAATTCTCCAAATTGGAATTCTACCAGGACAGCGTACCGGGATGAAAACTAGCTAAGGCTGACGAAACTTCCTCTCTTAATATTGTAGTTTTATATGTTGAGAAGGGAAAATTATTGTCTTTGACGCAAAAAGGCAAATTGTCGCTCAACTCAGTCTCTTCCCACATAAGTTTTTTGATACTTCAATTGTTTATTTGTTTTTTCTATATATGTCATATTATCTTGAATCCAAGCACACAGAATATGTATCTTTGTTTTCATAGGGAACTATGTGTACACTGAAGCTACACCTCAGTCGCCGGGCGATAATGCTAAGCTCCAACTTGTTGTACCAAGAAGTAACTCAAATTCGTGCTTCACGTTCTTCTATCACATGTATGGATACTCAATGGGTACTCTGAACGTATTCAATGGAAATACCACAATATTTACTGTGTCAGGAGATCAGGGAGACTATTGGAGAAAAGTGTCAAGGACAGTTAATTCGAGCGACGTGGTAATTATGCCTGTATTGCTGAACAAATTAGTCCATACATTAATCTTTCTGAGTGTGTGAAAAACTGCCATATACATACTGTCAAAGCATTGAAATCTGCTTTAAATGGGAGGACAAGCAGGAATATTCCGCTTTGATCTTAAAGTTATTAAAGCCCTGGTCAAAAGACAGCAACATTTGCTTGCTCTGTGGCGAAGTGTTGCGACACGCACATGTCGCAACAGGGTGGCCAAACAGGCACCACATGATGCGCCCAACAATGTTGTGATAGGTTGCGTTGAAATGTTGCGATCGTTTGGCCGGGTTTTATTAAAAATTAAAGCCAGTACTCAAGGAATAATGAGATGCCAAGAACCAAACAGACAAACAACAGCAACAGGGCAACAGTACCGAGGAAGAGGCCAGACAAAGTGCTGAATTTAGTAGAATGCAAGTCCAGTAGTACTAGTCACTAGAAAAAAAAACAAGAGACAAAAACAGACCAAAACCGAACGGTTAGTGTATTTTAAGTAACAATTTAGCAAAACATTAAAATTCGTATAAAAAAACCCACTTTATATCGTATCCTTAAAATCTTTATGGAAAGCACAAGTATGATAAAGCAAAACTCTCGCCAGCCCGGAGCAATCTTTGTTACATTTCCTTTAATCTTACTGAAACAAAATTATATATTGAAATTCAAGCATATGATTTCCCCCTAAATATATCCCATAACATTTTTTTTCTTGTTTTCAAGCTGACATTCGAAGGAATAAGAGGATGGTCATACAAAAGTGACATCGCCATCGATAACGTCACACTTAGTGAAGGAAACTGTCTAGGTAAACCAAGCATTGAATAACAAGTATTACTTTCAATAAAAATAATGAATTATAAGGGGTCAGGGTATATAGTAGATACTGGATAATATGCAAAGAGATTGAAGTGCCCGCGTAGGACTTCGAGAGAAATATTTCTCTTTTCTAGTAATTCGAAAGATAAGGCTATTTTTTAAGTCGTAAAAATAGCTGATTTTATCAGAAACCAGGCAAAGGATGAGTTTATAGCCATCACGAGGTCCAACATATCTAACCAAATGGAAACTTTTGTCAAGATGTCAGGAGTTTTCTTTCAACTTTAGGAACAGCTCCAGAAACTACATCTTGCAACTTCGACAGAGGATCAGTGTGTTCTAACTGGGAGCAGTCTTTGGCAGATGTCTTCGACTGGACACCTCATACAGGACCAACATCGTCTGATGGCACGGGCCCAAATTACGATCATACCAGTGGGACAGGTCAGAAAAACGCGATTCACTTTCTTTGGTTTTGGTTTGATTGATTTCCTTTCCTTTCAGAGCAATCGTGAACACGAGAATGTCTAAGTAACTAAGTGTCTTAAGAAAGCAATTTGTGCCTCAAACTAGCTAAAATTATTCAAATGTTTTTTTCTGCTATCGGACGGCGGAATTAATGTTGTTTTTTTTTTCCCTTCTGTTCACAGGATACTACATGTATATTGAGACATCTTCGCCCCGAGTTGCCGGTGATAACGCAAAGCTTGAGTTCTCTGTATCTGGAAATGGAAAACTTTCTTGTCTCGAGTTCTATTACCACATGTATGGAGACAGTATGGGCACTCTGAAAGTGTACAGCGGAAATTTGTTAGTATTCAGCACGTCAGGAAACCATGGCAACCACTGGAAAAAAGCGGTAGTAACTATTCATCTGGACAACATCGTAAGTTTTAATCCATTTCATGCATACATGTAAACTAATTTCAACGTGAGACCGTAATGATTCGGCCATTTTACATTTGAGTGAAATGAATTTATCATACGAATTTTTTTTACAGTAATAAGAATTCCTAATATTTCAAAATACTCTCTCTAAAGTTACTTATTACTCTTATTCTCTAGGTGACATTCGAAGGAGTAGCAGGATCCTCTTATACGAGTGATTTAGCTATTGATGATGTCGCGATTAGCAGTGGAAGCTGCCCAGGTAGGACTGCACCGACAACGTTATTTCAATTTTTCTCACCAGTTGCCATTGCGAACATTTTCTTCCTTCCTTCCTTCCTTCCTTCCTTCCTTCCTTCCTTCCTTCCTTCCTTCCTTCCTTCCTTCCATCCATCCATCCATCCATCCATCCATCCATCCATCCATCCATCCATCCATCAATGGCATGCTTATATTTTTCCGAGGAGTTTAACCTATCGATGATAATTGTTCATACATACTTTTGAAGCCACCGGGGGGATTTTTTTTTTCCTTCACGCTAAAAACCTCACTCTTTGATCAAGCTGAGAAAATAGATTTAGAACACGTAATAGTCTTTCATGGAGATTTCGCCCGTTAAATATGTGATTTGGTCAACAAGTCGTTAACCATCACTTGCCTGGACTCGACGCCTGAAAATGCTATTCTCTGCAATATTTGAATCTTGTCTCTTAGGCCTTTTTTTCCTGCGTTTATTTCGTATACTATGTAACAATTATAAAAATATGATGGTACTTATGGTTATCAATCGCTGATAAGGGCTAGACTGGTACAAAACAACAGTCGTTTTGACATGGGACTTTTAGTTACGTTTATCATTGAAAACAAGCCCTGCGAATTCTCACCATTGTAAACTTAGCAACTGACGCCAGAAATAACAACCGCCGGATTTTTAACCAAGCAAAAAGGCTTTTAAGATGTTTATACCCACAAATGCGATCATGTACTCTGACTTTTTTCGCGTTGACATGTGACTGGTCAGCAACCATATATAGCATGTGGAAACTGACTTGTTTTGGACCATGAAAAATAAAATTAGATAAAATAAAAAAGGCTGCAACTCTGAATCAAGTGTTATCAACATAAATTCTTGGTTTCCATAGCGTTTTAAGACCCCAAAAAAGAAGTAAAATAAATTTCTTAGTAAAGAAAAAAATTTGCGATCAATGAAGAAGCAATCAACGGCTAACGATCGTGTAAGGCTCGTCACAACATCCTTTTGCTGAAGCTGTTGAAACACCTTGTGATTCACATATTGCTTCAATAGAAATATCTAGCCTACTCAAAGGAAATAAAAATGGTTGACTTTTTGTGACATTTCCAGCACCAACAAGTACATCTTGCGACTTCGACACGGGGCTTTGTAACGGCTGGCGACAGCCGTCTTGTTCAGACGTCTTTGACTGGACACGTCAGACAGGATCAACATGGTCTTCAGATACAGGTCCAGATTTCGACCACACCAGTGGGTCAGGTAAGAAAAATGCCCCTTTTTCAATATTGTTTGGTTGATTTACTTTGTTCTCGGCCAAATCTCAACCTTAAATAATAACATTGCTAGCCAAATCAGGAAGTAACATGTGCCTTATCTCATAAATGAACAATATTGTTAGTTTGCTCTCAGAAGGGCAGTTAATGTTTTCCTATGTTAATAGGATACTACATGTATATCGAGACGTCTTTGCCTCGGGTCGCCGGTGATAACGCAAAACTTGAGATCTCTGTATCTGGAAATAGAGAGCTGTCTTGTCTGGAGTTCTATTATCACATGTACGGCAGCACCATGGGAAGTCTGAATGTCTTCAGCGGAAATGTGCTGGTATTCAGCTTATCAGGAGACCAGGGTGACTACTGGATAAAAGTGGAGAAAACCATTTATTTGGATAATACTGTAAGTTTTATGAGCAGCACGAATATTGTGCCTGTAAATCCTTATAGAATTGTGGTAAATCGCTTCAAGTGTTACGCTTAAAATGAATATGAATACAGTCGAACCACTCCCCAGCGGCCACCTTGACAGAGACAGTGGCCGCAAGAGGGAGGTTGACGTTATGGGGAGGTAGGGGTGTAATATGGTACCGGGTTTTTTTCGTGGGCCTCAACATTTTTATATTTAAAAAAAAATGCTTAGTGTAGCATGTAAATACGCAAACAAAATATGTCAAAAAAACAGAAACCAAACTGAAACAGAGATAGACGGCGCGCGGTACGGATCAAGTTTTGTGACCTTTTTCAATAAGGGGTTTTGTACACATCTTTCGTCAGTCGTTGATTAGCTGGCCGTTGACGGGAGGTTATTTCGGTAGTCGGGACGCGTTTTAGTGGCCGTTGCCGTTGTAGAGAGGGGGCCATTGTCGAGAGGTTAAAATAAAAGTGCATGTATGGACCGTCTGTCAGGACAAAAAAGTGGCCTTTGTGGAGGTTCCATTGTAAACAAAAAAGTGTAATACTTCAAAATGTTAAATTCAACCAGGGAGCGAGGCCTAGGTGTCAAAAACAATGGAAATTGAGGAAATCTGTTCTTCCATTTCTTTTGCTGTGACTCCAAGGCCAGGCTATCAAGTTGAAACTACATCAATAGTCGCCATTGGTGAATCGCCCTTGAGTTACCTCCAAAAGTCATTCATTACGGGGCCTTGTCAAGATTTCTTTATTAAGCTGAGGCCAATTTAAAATATATGGTTTGAATTGTATTATGAAATAATTCGGGACCATGAGCATATCGTGAGACTGATGTCCTTCAAACGTAACTGCCAAAGAACAAATTTAAATTACCCAAAACAGCTGTCGAGAAACGAGCTGAGAGAGATTAAATACAATACTACAGCTACGGTTGAACTCGCATAACGGCAACAAATTTGATTTAACACTTTTTAATGACCAAAGACACGTCCAAGTTTTTACAAAATCAGTCCCATGTGTGTTCGTCGGGGTGGTTACAAAGCTTTGCAAGCTACTTCATGTCATTGACATGAAACGTCACGATCAAAATAAAACAAAAATAAAATACTTTTCTTCGGCGGTAACAACAGCCGTGTAGGCAAACAATAAACATATTAATCTCTGAAGGTACAAACAGTAGGGAAATTAATGTAATTTTCACTACAAGAAACCAAAAAATACGAAAATTAGCAGTTGCTTGAGGAAGCAAACCCGGTAATTTGAGCTTGTTGGCTAGTCATACCCACAGGATCAGGATCCCAAGATGCAATCAAACGAATGACTTCGGGAACGTAGAAACCAAAACCTGAAAAAGACTTTCAGAGTTACTGGTCTACCTAACCACAGCGTAAGGGGCGACACAAGGTAGGAAAAATGGACCCCTTGATATTTCGCCCAGAGATGTCCTATGGTATGCTAAGAATCGTGATATAAGTTTTAGGTTCTAGAGTTTTAACGTTTTTGAGAAAATTACGGAAAACCGTCGTCAACCCGTGAAGCCGAAAAATCACAGAAATGATGTCAAATTTCATGATCAGATAATCGAACTCGCGTGAAGGCGTGTAGCGAATTTTGGCTTTCCGTGGTTTATAATTTTATTTAGGAGGTATTGCTAAGCTGCCTTGATGATAATTTAGACTTACAATTGCAATTCCGAATTCCTGGAGAGCAACCGAAGAGAACCGAAATTTCTAGACTTTGAAAATCAAAAATTCCATACCATTTTCAAACATCTCAAAACATACTCGATATTATGTAGAATTCTTTCAAAATTCGATTCTAGTAAGTACAAGAGCTGCTTTTGAACGTGATATAATTTGTTTCTTGGCAAAAGTTATTTCTGAGGCCCCATGCAATTTGACCCAATTTGACCTTTCGAAGAGATTTT